AAATAAAACAAAAATCTCATGATTACACTGAAACTTTACCTCGTGGCCCATATGTGATAAAATCAGAGCCTTTCTAGCTGGGGTTTTTTGCTTGAAAGCTGGCAAATCAACCTTTCCCAGATTCTTTCTTGGTGGGAAGCCAGGGTCCATCCAGCAGGTGCACAGTCCTCCACAGCAGGGACTCTGCTCTGTGAGGGGTCAGAGTGCAGACTTCCCTCCCTCCCAGGCTCCTGAGCTCAGATCTGGCTGAGGCGCACTGTGTTCAGGGTCAAGACAATAAGATGTAAGATGCTGTTAGGAGAAACATCCCAGGAGGAATTCCAGCCACAGATCACACCTGGCACACTTCCTGGGTGCCTGGACCTACAGTTGTGATGTCTGTGAGAAGGGTAGTAAAATGCTGAGTCTGCTCCAGGGGAGTTGGGTGAAGTAGGTCCTCTGGATGTGACTTTCCTACAGCTGATCCCACCCAGACCTCACGGGAACCACTGAGGGTGGGTGATCCTGAGCCTACAGGTCCAGAATTGAGTTGTTCTCTCCTCTTATATCCCAGCGGACCTTTCCAGCTAGATAAGAGTTAGGAGGGAGTCAGTGGAATGTGAGGGACCAGAAACTCCCCAATATGTGCGTGAAGTAAATCCATCCTGTGAAGCTCTTTGGAAGGACCCAGCCATCTATTGTAATGACAAACATTGTAGGTTGTCATGGAAACCCTCAGCAAGGACTCCCAGGCAGAGCCCCTAAGTTTGTGACCTAGAACAACAGTGATGGGCCTTCAGGGATTCCAGATAAATCTCCAGATCCGGGTCTGTCAACCTTACCTCCTCAACCAGGCTGACAATGAGGCTGATTATCACTGTCAAACAGCTGCATACACCCTCCATGCCACTCCCAGTCTGTGGGGAGTGACACAGGGATCTGCCCTCCACTCCCCAGTCTGATCTAACTCTCCGCTGTCCCTGCCAGTACCCGACACCAGCCCAGGTTTTGGCTTCTGCTGTCACTTGTGCTACTAAAACCAGAGGGCCTCATGATTTTGAGTCACTCAATTTATGAATGCAATGAAAACAACCCATTTTACTACTGGTTTTCCAAAGCAAGAAAATCACTTTGTCACCAGAACTTATCATAACAAACCCCCTGCCTCATGCTGGCTAGGATGACATGGAGAAGAGAAGGCCAGCCAGCGTGACCCAGGAGACCCAGGTTCTCCTCTCCTCAGTCCCCTACATGTCCCATGAGCCTGGCCCAGGCTTTGCTGATCATTCAGTGAGCTCTGAAACCTTCACAAAGTGGGGTTCTCTTCTTCTCAGATCACATCCTCGAGGAACTCCTGGATCCCAGGTGCAGGAGAGGACTCTTCCCATTAAGGACCTGGCGCTCCGACCCATCACCTCCTCTCTTTCCCCAGTGTAATCCCACAGATCTTAGTTGCGTTGCAGCTCTAATTTTTTGTTGTTTTTTTTGGGGGGGGTTAGAGGATATTTGAAAGTGTCTTAGTTCTTTGGGATCTAGCGTCCATGACCCAACCCTCATTATCACAGAGAACCCTGATACGACAGGACAATTTACAGAAATCCCTGTCCTTTCTTCAATGTCGGCATATGGAGCAGTTACCAAGTAAATCTGATCGGGAACCAGTGTGGGTTGGGTCACAGATCTTGGTTGCCACCAAGTCAAGGAGGAAGGATGAATCTCAAAAAATGAGAGAGATTCATAGTAATGTTTTACTCACCAGTCTTCAGACTGAAAACGATAAAACTAGACTAAAATAGTAAAAACCAACCATAAATATATCATAGATTCAGAAGAGAAAAGAATAAATCTCCAGAATAGCCATTAAGGTTAAATGAAACCACAGACTGGTCAGCAGGAGAGAGGACATGTTTTGTCCGACAGCGTTGTATTCTAGTGGCCTCGAGAGACGCCAGGCAGCGGTACTTGTGCAGTGGGGGTGAGGGGTCTACCAGGAGTCCCTCACAACAACAGCAGCAACAGTAACAGTGACAACACCAAGAAAAGTCAGCCTGTCAGGGTATCCCATATAGATTTTTGGTCTTCATGAACCAACAAGGTTCATTGCAGGATTTTGGGCCTTGAACGTGCTTCAAGGTGATCTTACACTAATAGTGACCCCAGACACATGGCAGAAGCAAAGTTAAATGTCAGTTAATCCTGAAATAGTGGGCAACATAAGGAATGTGCAATATATGCTGTATTCAGCAGCCTGGAGGTCATTAGTTATCTGGAGACAAATAATATCTCAGCCTGTACCTCCAAGAAGAGACCTACTCATTGAATGATTCTGACAGTGACATCACATAAATCCATATGCAAAATAAGGACGCTTTGGAGGAGTGCTGAGTGGAGTCAGAGGGGCTTGTAGCCCCTGGATCCGAGACCAGCAGGGGTGCTCGTGGACGGGTCCTGAGAGGGCAGTGTCCTATGCAAGGCAGGCACAGAGAATGCTCTACTGGCTCTGTCAAACTTGGGCAAACAGTGTCCTCACTGAAGTGTGGCTCTTCTGTACCCTTGTTTGTTTGTTTGGTCAAAATGAAGATTCTCATGCCCACTACAGAGAACATGGTCTATAGCACATAGCCCCATCCTCCCCATTTGTTCTCCCGAAATCTGACCTTGACAGAAAAACATTATCTGATAGTCTCACATTTACCAGATATTTCTCATGGCTGGGTCCCATGGGGACAGAGTTCCTGGTGGGTCAGGGGAATACCAGGGACACAGAGAGTCCAGCTGAGTCTGACTCAGGATAGCCCACTATTCAGGTCCATCCATGCACACTATTCACTGAACACCAACTATATGCTTGGCTTGGATGGGGGATAGGAGCCGTTAGAGGATTTGACAAGGAAGATAAGGAATCTGATTAATTTATGAAGTCCAGCTGTTGATAGAAGATGAGTGGGGAGGTGGGTAGAGTGAAAGCAGGGGCCTGGTGGGGTTAGTGGATTTGGTAGAAAGATCAGACTAGAGTCCTGGATGAGGGCTGGAGCAGGTGAGGTGGAGAAGGATGGTCAGCCTCTGCATGTTTTTTGGAGGTGAGGAAGGGGATGTGGGAAAGAGGTTTGGAGGCTGGTCCTTCGGGACTGGGTGCGATGTGAGTGAGCTGTACCTCCTGGATGAAGGTCTATGGACACAGGTGTGGGGTTGAGGTCCTGAGCTCATCCTTGTGATGGAAATGTAGACAACAGCCCTCCTGCCTTGTACAGCGGTGACGGGAATGTTGTAGTTGTCAAGTGTGTAATCTCAATGGACTTCACTCCTTCTCTGAGATTTATTTGAGTTGTCCAATCTCCTGATCTCACATGTCCCCAGGCCGATTTCCCACACAGGTCAAAAATGTCCCTGCAGTCCCAGCCATCACATCCACACAATAAACCCTCCTGAAAGAGAGAGTTGCCCTCCCTCATCCATTGAACAGGAATCTCAGGCCTGAGCAGGACTTGACTAGATCACTCACACTGTCTCTCCTGACTCCATCACGGTGAGCAGGGAGGGGATTGTCTGATTGGTTTGGAAAATGAAAGGCCTGTCCCTGGGGCAGGAGCTGGGGTAAATCACATGCTCACCACATGACTGAGATATTTGGGTCTGACAGGAGAGGAAAGGACAGAAGTTTCCCTCAGTGGCCCCAGCATGTGCCTCACTCTGTTCTCCACTGTCATCATTCGTTCATGTTGGGTCTTCTACTGTGCACACTGGGAGCTGGGCAAGGGAGACTGGCCAGGGGCACCTGTCTCATTACACTCTCCTTCTGGTGCCTTGATCTTTCTAATGTTCTGCAAAGGATCAGTCTCAGGTGAAATGACACCTACTCCAATCAGTGAGGCCACGGTGTGAAATTCAATAGTCTCCGGAGAGGGAGAAAGGAACAAAACTCCCTCATGAGGATGTCCTCTCCGCAGACGGAGTGAGAAGGGTGATTACATCTCAAGAAACCACACTAGTGGCCACTGTCTGCCATCACCTGGCTCTTCCCCTGCAACTGCCTCCTCTCTCAGGTGAGGACCAGTCCCAGAGGCCCAGCTCATGGATGTCTAGACACACACTCCAGTCCAGATCCCTTTTGTCCCCTTCCCCAAGCAAGTCATTCCTCAGGTCACTGAGGGCTCATTGCTGAGATTCTCCACCTCACAGGGCCCAGGTCTCAGGGGCTCTGTCCCAGTTACCTTCCTCTTCTGTGTCCTGGAGCTGGGATCGAGTTAGCCTGACTCAAAAATGTGAACACCTGACTCTCATACAAGTATAGAACGAGCCATGTGAAACATTTTCTTCAACTCATACATTAGTGAGGAACCAGTCAATAGTAACGATTGGTCAAAGAGAAGAGTGTAGCAAAAATCACAGTACTTACATTCCACCAGGAACAGAACATTTGAAACAAAGTTTTGGAGTGTTGGAGACAGGCTGCTTAATCTGTAACACTGAAGAGATCACATGAGAGGAGAAGAATCTGGGTCCTGCACAGAAGGGGACCTGCCTCCATGGGGCCGCTCACTGCTCTTCACTTGATCCTGATCTAAGAGGAGTTTGTGTAAGAGACACCCCCTCATTCCTGACCCCTGAACAGCTAAAGGAGTTGTGGACAGACTCACTCCTGGAGAGTATGAGTAGAGACAGCCCTGAGGTGATGTGGAGGCTGCACAAGGGGCCACCTGGCCTGACCCTAAGGCAGGGAGACAGTGGACAGAGAGTGGGGATGCAGGAAATGTCTCTGATGGGCTTTGGTCACCCTGTGACACAACTGTGGGTCTTGGCCTGGACACCATGGGGCACTCAGTGCTCCATCCTGAGGTTCCTGGGGCTGATCACAGCTGGGACCAGCCACCTGACACTGCCTGGTGCCCTCTGCTCAGGGCTCATGGCTGAGAATGCCCCACCCCCTGGCCACCCTTGGGCAGGGGGAACTGACCCAAGTCCCAGTGAGGGATCAGAAGGCTGGGAGGGCCTGATTTGCATGTGTGGGCCCGCCCTCTCTCAGAGTATGAAGAGGGGATGGAAGAGATTTGGGGGAAGCTCTGCTTCAGCTGTGGGGCCACTGAAGGCAGGACTCGGTGACAATCTCCACCATGGCCTGGTCCCCTCTCCTCCTCACCCTCATCGCTCTCTGCACAGGTGACTACATATGGGGATAAGAGAAGGGGACCGGGGAAGATGCCTGGGACCCTGCTTTCTCTTGTCTCTAGACTCCAGAATCACCATCTCTGTGTCTCTCTCACTTCCAGGATCCCGGGCCCAGTCTGTGACGCAGCCCGCCTCAGTGTCTGGGACCCTGGGCCAGACAGTCACCATCTCCTGCTCTGGAAGCAGCTCCAACATCGGGAGTGGTCATGTGTCCTGGTACCAACAGATCCCAGGAACAGCCCCCAAACGCCTCATCTATTCTTCCGCTAGCAGGGCTTCCAGGGTCCCCGACCGATTCTCTGGCTCCAGGTCTGGCAACACAGCCACCCTGACCATCTCTGGGCTCCAGGGTGAGGACGAGGCCGATTATTACTGTGGTACATTGTACAGCAGTTGGAGTAGTGACACAGTGCTGCAGGCCTGTGGGGAAGTGAGACAAAAACCTGCTGTCCCCCCAGTGATGGGGCTTCTCTGTGCAGCCCCCACTCCTCGGCCGAGGCAGCTGCTTCCTTGGCTTGTTTGGTGAAAAGCAGCTCTGATATTTGATCCCAGGAACTGAGTCTAGAAGATGTGTCCTCATCCTCT